AATGAGGCATAGAGACAACAAAAAGTTGATTAGATTATAAATACTACAACTGAATTCTAAGTAAAAATAAGCTAAAAAATAATCCACCTCTCTTGGGTCACACTAAGAGTCCTTCAGGGCAACTAGAAATCATTCTTCCTCTCAACCCTTCTGAAGTTCAGAACTGAGCCAGTAAACTTTTCAAATAATGCATCAATGGCCAATCACTGACAACTTTGGATATTCTATAAATGTTTCATCATATATCCAAGGATAAGGGGAAAGAAAGGACAAAACATAACTAATAATTATTCTGTCTCTCCTCTCCCCCAGATGGGCATATTTTGGTCCCTTTAAGAAAAAAAAAATTGAAGAACAGAAAGTCACACAGTGAATAGTTATCTACATGGACCCTCCTTCTACAGTACTTTTTTTTTTTTTTTTTGAGATAGGGTCTTCCTATGTAGCCCTGGCTGGCCTTATACTTACTGTGTAGGCCAGGCTAGCTTCAAACTCCCAGCAATTCTCCTGCCTCACCATCCCAAAATCTAGGATTTATAGGCATGCATGCACCACCATGCCCAGTGTTTCCAGTGTACTTTTATATTCTTGTTAAATATATTTTTAAATTTTTATGAGTGTTTTTTGCCTGCATGTATGTAAGTGCACTCATGCATGCAATGCTTGTGGAGGCCAGAAGGGGGCATAGAGTTCCATAACTCCTGGAACTGGAGTTACAGATGGTTGTTAGCTGCCATGTAGGTGCTGGGAACCAAAACTGGACCTCTGCAAGAGAGGCCAGTACTCTTAACCACTGAGCCATCTCTCCAGCGCCTGTTTTATATTCTTAATTTCTTCCTCATATATTAAGATAGACTACTGATAACGAATACATTTATTAGAAACTCCTGATTTATTTGAAAATGCTTGAAAAAGATATTCATTTTTGCCTATTAGCCCTGTTGATAATTTACATGGGTGATGAGGTGTTGCCACTAAAGGTGATAAGCTAAGACATGGAGAGGGAAAGATGTAACATTTCAGACTTTGGAATAACACATACTGAGTGGAGAATGCAGACCTGTAAACTGAGCTGGGCACAGGACAAGTGAAGCACAGGCTGATTAGCAGCACAGAGAGGTCCTGTAAGCAGATGGGACATCTGGAAGAGCAGCAGCTTGGGAGAGTGAGGCTAATTCAGTCACAGGCAGATTACAAGCTGCCCATATGAAACGATGCTATCGAGTAGGCAAGTGGAAACAGGCACACTGGAAGAGCCAAAGACCTAGATCTAGCACTCAGTTATCCCATGGACAGAGTACTTGTTACTGGGGCCTGATGGGCCTCAGCCTACCATAACACCTATGGAAAACTGCTAACTAGCCTATGGAGAACCAAAGAGACTCATCACTGATTTTAAATTACCTTATGGCTGAATTCAGTGAATTCTTTATATACTTCTGTTCTAGATAGACCTTCTGGGTTGAAATAGTATAGAGGCATACAGAGCAACACCACAGCCAAGATGGCTCTTCAGACATGGGAGTTCTGCTGACACAGCCTGGCAGCACATATGTTTACACACACACACACACACACACACACACACACACACACACACACACCCTGTGTGATCTCACTGTGCCTCCCTGTAATAACACTGAGCACAGAAGAGGCAAAAACATGGTTGCCATTCTAGCAAAGAAGCTGAGGCTCTGGAGAAAGAAAACCTGCTCAATGTGGCAGAATCCTGCCCTGCCCTGTCCTCTGACCGCAAACCCAGTGGAACTACACTTTTGTGACCAGGTGAAAGGTGACGGCAAGGACTGGAAACCCAATGTACACTCATCTCTGAATTCAGCTACTCAAACATATAGGAATGGTTCTTTTACACTTTAAGCATTTTCTTCTGATTAAACATTAATATGCTCACTATAAATAAATTCGAACTTTACAAAAACATATACAACAGAAAGCAAAATCACCCCCATAACCTGAGTCTCAAGGCACCGTCTACTAACAGTTTCTGTATATTCCAAGAGATAATTTCCCTTACATATTTTATTAATGCCCACGAAGGAGCTATATAAATGTTTATGTGCTTAAATGTTTCTGCACTTGCAAATGTTTCTACTGGATCAGTTTTTAGCAGCAGAATGTTGGGTCAGGGAGTAAACTTTCAATATTAATAGCTATTGCTTTCCAAAGATGGGGCACCATCTCTACCAGCATACGACATGTAACTGACAAGTTTGGTTACTTGAAATGTAAAAATTGGGGCTTGAGAGATGGCTCAGTAGTTAAGAGCACTTACTGCTCTTCCAGAGAACCCATGTTCAATTCCCAGCACCGATGCTGAGAGACTCACAGCTTCAACTCCAGGGGATCCAACACCCTCTTCTGGCCTCTACAGGACTGCACACAAATTGTATACATTCATACAGACACAAAAACACATACACATAAATAAAAATAATAAATATAGGGCTGTTTTCTTTCTCCAGAATTAAGACCATTTGCTGCTATTACAGAGGATCCAGGTTCCAACATCCACAATGGGTGGCTCATAACCACCAATGAGTCCAGTTCCAGGAGATCTGATGCTGTCTTCTGGCCTCCTTGGGCACATATGATGCAGATACATACACTCACACACATGAATACATATAAAATTAAATAATAAAATAATATTATTTTTGTCTTTTTGAGACAGGGTCTCCCTGCAGCCCCAGCTGGCCTGGAACTCACTATGTAGACCAGGCTGGCCTCGATCTCACAGAGATCCACCTGTTGGGATTAAAGGTATGCACCACCACACCCAATCATAAATAAAATACTTTTGAAAATAAAAATGAATCTTTAAAAAAATGTAAAATCTCTACAAAAGGGGGGAAAATCCGTAAAGTTAAAACAAATGAACTGGGGACTTAAGAGATGACTCAGCAGTTAAGAGCACTGCCTGCTCTTGCAGAGGACCCAGGTTTGGTCCCCAGCACTCACATGGAGGCTAACAACTATCCTTAACTCCAGTTCTAGGAGATCCAAAGCCTTCTCCTGGCCTCTCTAGGTAGTGCATGACATGGTTGTACTTACATATACACTGACAAAACACTCAAACATAAAAATAAATTTTAAAAATGGGCATATTATTTCAAAGAGTTAATTCCCCCCATACATGAAAATTTATTAAAAATCCAAGCATAATGGTAAAAAATGGATAAAGATTATAAGAATAATTATAAATGCAAATAGTCATAAAAATCCCACATAAACCAACATTTAATCCCACACAGTAAAGAAATGCAAATTAAGTAAGAGCAACTTTGCTCTCCAAACTGAGCTATTCCGGCAAAGACCAAAGTACTAGTTTCATTCATAAAGTTAGAAAACAAAATTGTTCTAGTTTGCTTCTCTGTTATGATAACACATTCTGACCAAAAGCAAGCTAGGGGAGAAAAGGGCTCATCTGGCTTATGCTTCCAGGTCACAGTTCATCCCTGAGGGAAGTCAGGGCAGGAACTCAAACAGGAACCAAAGCAGAAGCATGGGGCAGCTCCTTGCTCACGTTCTACTACTGTTATACAGCCTAGGGATGGTGCCACCCACAGTGGGCTGGGTCCTCTCACATCAGTCAAGACAATCTGAGCTGGGGAATTCCATAACTGGCCTTCTCTCTTCCAAGGTGACTTCAGGTTGTGTCAAATTGACAATAAAACCTAACCAGCACAGACTAATACTACTAGAAAAGATAAATGAAATCTTTTGTAGACTGTTGGGAAAGGGAGGAAGTGGCTCAACTTTCACAGTGTATGCTGGCCATGTATGAGTGTTTTAACATGTTTGGTCTTTGAGCACAATTAGAAATTAGTATCAAGTCAATAACTATACAAATGTACAAGAATTTATTTGCATAAATAATGTCGTTGCTGATAATTGTAGGAACTCAGAAACAACCTATCTATGAATCAGAAATTTTAAAAAATGATGCTGACACTATACCAAGAAATATTTGGTAGCCATAATAATAAAAAAAAAGATGCTGGGACCTTTAAATCTTTTTTGCATGGAAAATGTTCATAATACTAAAATATGGACAAAATGGCTCACTCATATGTAAGCCATAAGAAAAATTATTATTTAAGATACAGCCAAAAAAACTAAAGGTTCTGCTGGCATGAAGGAACAACAAGCAAGTTTCATTATATATTTATGGGATTGATTTAAACAGTGTGCATGTACTTACTTTTCCACTGAGACCATAATCACTTAAAAAGAGATGAGGAGCTCCGAAAAAGTGAGATTCAGAGGCCCAGAACGCTAAAATCCTACAATGTCCCATGATGTCCTCTAAAATCCTAAGATGTCCTAAATCTTGTCCTATTTGAGAGAGAGGGCTGAGGATGGCACTAGGGCCTCACAGGTGCTACAAAAGTGCTAAGCCACATACCCAGCTGTTTCTTGTTCTGAAAATTCAACACAATAATTAAGAAAATATTTACTCTCAGGGGTTGGTTTTCTGTGATTTTAGAAAAAAAAATGTTTATTCTTTCTCTGAATCTTTTGGGACTAGAACATGAGATATGTATTTCTTCTCACATGATTGACTATTCTAAAAATAATTATGGTTGCATCTTAGGAGTAGAGAAGGGGGAGAGAGCATAGCAAGGATACCCACCCGCCCCAGGGCTAAATCTGTCTGAAGTTTCAGAATTCCTACAGAACATGCATGCAAACCTCCAATTTAGCCTTCAGAGCCAAAGATGGGGGATGATTCTTAAGAACTGTTTCTATTGTATATCCTACTGACAACAAACATTATCACTCCTGGTTTGTACCTGTAGGAGAGATGTGAAAGCAAACACACCAAAAGTCAGACTTGCCTTAAACTATCAGATGTTATATAAGACTCAACTTTTCTTTAATACCACATTTGCTAAAATGCTTATAAAAGCACATTCAAATAGTCAGTTGTGGTTTCAACTCTTAGATCATATATGACAAAAGAAATAACAAATAATTACCTCTCCTATGAAGACAACTATAACGCAGTCCAGCTTCTCTTCAGGGTACAGGTTATCAATAAGGGAATGAAGAGTTTCTATGAGGTATGATTTAACTTCTCTCTTCACTGTGGGAATTCCCATCACTATTGAAACTGAAACAAAAGAATACAGTAATTATATAAAAAGATTTTACAAGGACAACATAGAAAGACACACTGCTTCCAAAAGTATTATAATATCTGAAATTATAGGGATAATGGAAGGATTCAATTTCAGAAAGAAAAATAAAAAATAAAAGGGAGTGCCTATAGTGCTATAATCCTTTCCCATACAGTTTAACCAAGTATGTATAATCAAATGTGATAAAAACAAAAGATTAAACCTCACACCAAAATCAAAGCTATTAACAAAAAATTTTTATTCCACAACTAAAACTCAGAAACACTGAACGCATCTTACAAATGATTATTTTATATATTGGCCTCAAGACTGTGACATAGAGAGAAGGGGACAGTACTACTTCCTTGCCAAAATTCATAAAATGTCCGACCTCGCCATGAAGAAACATCATACAAACCCAAATTAGAGGACAGTACACAAAATAACCAGCCCATACTCTTTATGGTGTGAAGGTTCCATAAGACTGTCCCAGATTGGAAAGGACTAAGGAAGCATGGCAATTTGATGCAACATGGGATCCTGAGTTGAACCCTGGCACACAAAAATACTGAACATGGCAAAATATTGAGTAAGAGCTAAGGTCAATTATTAGTACAACATCAATGTGAACTTCCTGGTTTTGATCACTGTACTGTCACTGTACTGTGGTCATGAATGCTGTGAGAATGTAAGGACTCTGGGTCCTCACCAGGCATAGGAAGCTTTGTATATAGGTGGTTGTACAACACACTATAGTCGGTTGTACTATACTGCTTGTTCTAAGTGCAAATTTGTTCCTATGTGATTAATGTGTTAGGGAAGAATCTGGACTGTAATATGAATTTCACCTTTGCTTATGTGCAATTTTTTCTCTGAGACACTCAACCAGGCAGACACCAGAAAATTGAACTCAGCTGAACCAAGTTTAGAAAGCAGAACTGAATTGTACGGAAATACATAAGACACACACCTTAAACACTCTCAGCTGCTGTGAAAGACACCCATCCATGTGGGGTGTTGTGACTGTGTCAGATTTCAAACAATCCACATACACCACTTCACAGTAGCCTCCTGGCTGCACCTCTCCTGCAGCCATTTTAACAAGCAAGCCTCCAGGCCTCCTCAAGCAGACTACCATATTTACTGTAGTGCACATGTGCCACTTCCAATCACTGCACATGGGTAGAACTGTGCTAGTATCTTACTACGTTCTTATTCTTTTGTGTGCAACTGACAGTTGAGTGTTGTGATCCTAACCTTATTTTTCTCATTTTGCCATACAACTTTATACAGCACAGTGATTTGGGGGATTACGTATATCGTGTCATAGAATTGAGAGTATATGTTAAAGGGGTCAGGTGTGGTGGTTCATACTTTTAATCCCAGCACTTAGGAGGCAGGGGCAGGCAAAGTTCTGTAAGATTACACCAGCCTGGCCTACATAGCAAGTTCCAGGCCAGTTGGGACTACAGGGATGCCCTGTCTCAAAAACAACAACAAAACACACAAAAATACATATCTTAACATCTTAATAATCTAAGTCTTTTACAACAGAGAAGTATTCTTCAAATGGCAAAAATAATAGTAATTATGGAACAATTTGATGGAGCTGTTACACTATACTTGAAATTCTAAAGCTGGAAGAAGTTTAAAGACCATGTATCTATTATCCTTATTCTGCAGGTAAAACCATACTTAGGTACAACTGCTACAAGGAACCGTCCCTAAGATTCTTCTCTTTCATTTTAGTGGAAAAGAGTCGTTGATGCCTCAGAAAGACTGACTTTAATTTTCCTGCAATTTTGTTTGAACACTTATTAAATACAAGGCATGATCCTAGGTGTTAGGCATATAATGGTGAACAATATAAATAAGGCCTTGGCTTTCCGAAGATTTAGAAGGAGGGAAAGTTAAGCAATATAGTTGGAAAGGATTCTTTGTACAGTACAAATGAAAAAGTAGTATCAGAATGAGTGATGAATGGGTAGGAGGTGCCTCTGGGTGGTGCAGCCATGGAGGGCCTCTCTGACTTCACCTGACAATTAATACGAAAGCTGAGGGACAACAACATGCCAGAAGAGGAACCAGCAAGACACTGAAGACACAATGATCTTGATACAGTCAAGAAATGCAGAATGGATCTAAAGCAGAAGGAGCCTATGCTTAGAGAATTAGAAGTTGGTAGTAAAGTTAGTTCAATTCTGAATACCAGAGAAAGTCATTGTGAGGCTGTAAGCAAGGGACTCACATCTGATTTGTGACTTTCAAAGATTACCAAATTTGCCAAAAGTAAAAGCATGGTTTTAGGGTTTTTGTTTCATTTTTGTTTTGTTTTGTTTTTTTTAGGGTGAAATCATCTGGAGAAGACAGGGTAAAAAGTTGCTGCACTCACTACAGCAAGTGATGGGAGTTTGAATTAGGATGGCTGAAGAGTGGAGGTGTGCGGATTTGAGATGTGTTTTCTAGAGCCTCACCAATGGGCCTTTGGACTGGGAGAAGCAGAGACGGGGAGGAGGAAGAATGGCCTGAACCGGTGGACAGGGCATCTTGACTTCACAGCACATTTGCAGGGGAGGAGGCTCCAGGTAGGAATTTCAGTTAGCTATGTTACTTAGAGATTCCAAAGACAGAAGGGACTGTTTTGGAAGTCAATTTCCATACACTCAGTCTTCCTTGGAATTTAAGGTAAAAATCTTGGGAAGGAGAGATGGCTCAGTGGTTAAGAGTACTCCTTGCTTTTGCAGAGGATCTGAGTTCAGTTCTCACACTAGGAAGGCTGTTTACGGATAAAGCAAAACACATTGATCCCAAATCTGAAGAAAACAGTGGTAGCGATGCAATTCCTGACTTCATACTGTACTCTGAAGGGATTTTTGTTTTGTTTTGTTTTGCTTTTTGTTTCATTCATGTTTAGAAAACAAACCATTATTCTCAATACTCTATTTTAGAGCTGAAATTTAGTTTACAACAAGGAATGAATAGATACAAAAGCACTAAAAAAAAAAAAATCAAAGTACTAATTTTGGGCAAAATTACAGAATTAGAGTACCCATGCTTGTGAAAATTCACAAAATGGCCACAACAAAGTCTGCTTTCCCTGTACTCTGAGCCCATGGTAAGGCTACATTTCTTGGTCTGCTTATGGCTGAAGTCAGTGTGGAGTGGTGTGAGCCACCAGCTTGCCAAGGTTGTATCTGTAGTTTGAAATCCTTCAGGGCTGGAGTTTTCTCTGTTGGGGAAGTCAGTTACATTTAAGATGTCAGCCTGGACCCCTGAGAGGCCCATGATGCCCCAAGCTCCATCAACAACAACAACAAAAAAAACAGAAATAAACCTTTGTTCCATAAAATACTGAGATTGGGAGTTGGTATAGATACTGAGCCTGTTCTTATTTGACACAGTTATTTCTGACATACAATCCTGGAAATCTTTAAATCCTAAGGGTTAGAGTTCAGGAGTAGTTTGTCAACAAAGTGAAGAATATGACCACAGCATCCTTTTAAGGAGAAGCAAAGTAGGCCAAGGGTATCAAGCAGGAATAGAGCAAAGGGTTGGACAAAGTATTTTGTTCCACTGAGTAACTGCCTAACATTTCCAATTCAAGTATGAATTGTACCTCTGTTGTGTAGTAGACACTCTACAACACAATCATGCAATCGAAAGGACCCCTGTCTCCCGGTGCATTAACCTGTAGTATCAGCTCTTTTTTATTTTCTTGGAAAGTTTTCAAATTCTAGAACTTACTTCCTTTAAACAAGAAAAAAAATTAGAAAAAATCTAAGTTTAGCATTCCTAATCTTCAATTACTCAGTCTACCTGCAGTTATAACAAAATTATGTTCCCTGGGCTGGGGAGAGAGCTCGACAGTTAAGAGCATGTGCTACTCTTGCAGAGAACCAGAGTTTGGTTCCCAGTACCCACATGGTGACTCACAGCTACCTAGAACTCCAGTTCCAGGGGACCTGACATGTCTGGCCTCCGTGGGTACCTGCACTCATATGCACATACCTACCCCCACCCCCACTCCCTCATAATTTTAAAAACAATAAAAATAAATCTTAAAGAAAAGAAAACCAGTGCTGCAGAGCATTTTTTTGCTGCTCTGGATTTCATGGAATGACACCCATCATTCATCAAGTTATTCCATCTGGAACCTTGGCATTGCCCATGACATTCCTTCAACCCCAGCCCCAAATCCAGTCACTCACTGTGTCCTAGCCTAAGTGTCCCACGTCATCCAAACACCTCCAAGTCCATTCTGTTTCCACCTCTAGTTGCTCCAAGTTCATCCTGTCTTGGGTAAATAACTGTAACAACCTTTTCATTTTTTTTCAGTGTTTCTTTGTTGAGTAAAGCTGGCCTTCAAACTGCAATCTCCCTGTCTCCTGCTCCTGAATGCTGGGGTCACAGGGCACGTACCACACAGCCAGCTTAAAACAGTCCATCCTGTCTTCTGCATCTGTTCCTTTTCTCACATCCTCAAACACTCTTCCCACTGCAGCAAATGTGATCTTTGTGTATTTTAACTCTTAATAAACTATCCTCGATAAATCCGTCTGAAACCCTTTAGTGGATTCCTTCAGCTCTTGTGCTAGAAACCAAAATCTTGTAACAGAGCTAGAAGACTCTTCAGTCTGGCTTTATTTAACGCGTGCAGCTTCATCTGGCTCCATGCATCCCCTCACTCTCCACATTTCATTTATTTTCTAGAATAGTCTGTGCTCCCTTCCATCACAGAGCTTTTGTATTCTCTCAATGTGGTAGAGAGAACAAGACCTCCCACATATGTCATGCCCTGAACTCCTGGAACCTGTAAATGTTACCTTACTTGGACAGGGAGAGCTTTGTGGGTGTGACTGAGTCAGGTTATCTCAAGATGGGAAGATTATTGTGGACTACCTGGTGTGCTCAGTGTAACCACAAGGAGCTTTACAAGAGGTGAGCAGAAGGGTCAGAGTGCAAAGAGGAGCTATAACAGAAGCAAGAGCCATAGGGAGAAATTTGCAGATACTATGCTTTGGAGATGAAGGAAGGAGCCACAAAGGAATGTAGGCAAACTGCCAAACTGCAAAGGCAAAGAAAGAGATTAACCCCCAGAGCTCCAAGAAGGAGCGCAACCTGAGTTTTATGACTTCTGCCCTCCATAACTACAGGATAATAATGTTCTGTTGTTTTAGGTCACTGAATTTGCAGTAATCCATTACAACAGCAATACGAAGCTAACACCCATCTTCACAAGGAAAATACATATTCCACTGGTCCCAAGTCAAATATATTTCTTTTTGTTTGGTTTTCTTTTGTTTGAAACAGGGTCTCCCTGTAGCCCAGCTGGGATTAAAGGCGTGCAACCACACCCAGCTCAAATACACTTTTTTTTTTTGTCTTGCTGGCCTGGAACTTGAAGGCTGGCCTTGAACTCACAGAGATCCACCTGCCTGTGCCGCCCAAGTGGGATTAAAGGCATGGGCCACCACACCCAGCTCAAATATATTTCTTAACACTGCCCTCAACTCATCCATAAGATCAATACACCTTTGCGTATTCTGAAACCATCCTCTACATCACAAAGGTTGCAGTTATACTGTTATTTGCATGACTGACTAATACATGTCTCTTGTACTAGACTAAAGCTCCATAAGACTAGGATCTGTTAGTCCAAGTACCTGGCAAGGCACCTGGCACAGCGCACATGTTCATGGTCTCTGACTTCAGGAAAAGCCTGAAGAATCACTTCCTGTTCTCTGCCAGTCAAGAGCACCATTTTGGCAAACAACCTGACCAGTGCTTTGCCAACCATCCTTCCTGGCCCTAAATAGGCCCTTGTTCTGAAGGCCTGGGCATTTCTCCAATAAAAGACATTGTCTGTTAGTGATTATTTCTGTGCTTTGCCACCTCTTTCTCTCCTGGATCACCTATCAGATACAGACTTCTATCTCTTTCCATTCTTTACGCACTTTGGGCTGCATTATGAATGAACTACACAGCTCAATCTTTTCCTGGTCCTCCTGCCCCCTACCCCCAACCCCCACCCCTCAGAAGAACTAGACATGAAACCCAGGGCCTTGTACATGCTGGGCAAGTGCTCTACCACTGAGCTCTCGTTTTACTTTGAGATACATTCTCACTAAGCTTCCCAGGCTGGTCTTGAACTCATTCTGTTGCCCAGGCAGGCCTTGACCAACTAAGCTCTTCCTGCCTTAAATCCCCAGAGCTGCTGTGACTACAGGCCTGTGTCACCAAGCCCGACTTGCTGGCTCTACTCTTAATCAGGCCATGTATATAGAAATCTCAAACATAACTACTGAAATGAAAAGCAAACATTTCTAAATGATCTTTTATAATAGTCAGTTACTGTTTTATTTTGGGTGCAATTTTCTTTCCCTTCCCTCTAAAATGAATCATACTGTTCACTACATACTCCATTTTCTGGATCACTAAGTTACTGCCACAGTACGAATTTTCTTAGATGCTTGGGACCTCCTAACTTGCAGAAGATTCCCCTTTACCATCTGTAGTTGCTGTGCCTGGTTACTGCAGCTGCCTCTTTGAACTGTGTGGGAGGATTCTGTGTAGTGTTGGGTGGGTGGAGCATTTCTGGTTCTGCACATCAGAATCCCAGCCCCTCTGCTTGGGCCAAGTCCCACCTGGAACACTCACTTTCTGTCCCTCCCTGTCTTATGTTTTTATGTCCCCCTATCACCCTCCCTGCCTGGGGAAGGCTGTGGGGCTCTGCCTGCTGTCCCGTAATTAATCAGCCTGACCACTGAAGATCAGAATTGTTAGTAAGCAGCAATTGGATCTAGAAAACTTTCCTAATATAAAGTTCCTGTATAGGTTATGAGGTTCTACAAAACACGAATTCCAGAAACTGAATAGAAAGTAACTTTCCCTACATGTACTTTTCTAAGCAGTGGTCAGTGGCTGTTCTAGGACATTCAAAAGGTTCTTAGCTCAAAACCTACTAAGAATCACTTGTCTAAGGATTTAGGAAAGAATTTTCTTAATGTATATCTGGGTTTGTCACACATCCTACTCTAAGCTGCCTGCTATTTCTACCTTTCAAAAATGGTGCCCACTTTATAAGAATGTTGACTACTAAAAAAGATCTTGGCTGACCAAGATCTTGTAACACAATGGATAAAATCATGGAACACATATCTTTAAAAGGAAAAGAGTACCACAGTCATCAGATTAGAAGAGGTTACTATATAAGAACCTGTTCTAGCTTATTTCTCCATTGCTGTGACAAAACACTCTGACCACTACCAACTTGGGGAGGAAAGGGTTTATTTGACTTACATCTCCTGGCCCATCTCAGGAAGCCCAAGATAGCAACTCAGGGCAGGAGCCTGGAAGTAGGAGCTGGAGCACAGGCCATGGAGGAATGCTGCTTACTGGCTTGCTTCCCTGGCTCCTGCCCATCCTGCTTTCTTATCCAACACAGGCCCACCTGCCCAGGAGTGGCACCAGCCACAGTGGGCTGGGTCATCCCACATCATACAACAATCAAAAAGATGTCCCACAGAGATGGCAACAGGCTAGTCCTGTGGAGGCAATTCCCTAACTGAGGCTCCCTCAACCCCGGTGTGTCAAGTTGACACTAAAGCTATCCAGTACAGAACCTACTAGAGATCTTGAACAATTTAAGTGGGTTTTGTTGTTTGTTATTGAGACAGGGTCTCATTAAGTAGCCCTGGCTAGCCTGGAACCTGCTATATAGACCAGGCTAGCCTCAAACTCATAGAGATACACCTACTTCTGCTTCTCAAGTGTCAAATGACTTTTTAAATACTATTTTCTTTACATTTATTATTCTCATTAATGAAGATACTATCTAAATCAATAAGCCCACAATCTTACCAAAAGTGATTATTAAAGGGGGATATGAGTATTAGATTTAAAAAATTAACAATAAATGTTATAAAGAAAATGATTTAGAGTGCACTACAGATCTTGTTAGTCTTTGTATATCTAGCACCTGGAGGATGCCTGGTCTCAGTAAATATTTCTTGAGTCAGTAAAGAAATGGAAAGATGAGTTAATCTGAATGTGATGTTTTAAGATTCATTATCTCCATAGAAAGACAGTGATTGTAAATAATTCATAAAAGAGAAAGATGGCAGAATCCAAACAAGATGAATGTGAAAGGTTATACTAACGTCAAAGGACAGGAGAAACAGGATGCTTAAAAAAAAAAAAAGGGAGACACAGGGTTGGAAAGATGGCTCAGTGGTTAACAGCACTGTCTGCTCTTGCAGAAGACCTGGGTTCAGTTCTCAGTACCCACATGGCAGCTAACACCCACCCGTCACTCCAGTTCCAGGGGCTCTGATGCCCTCTTCTGACCTCCGTGGGCATTGCATGTGCCATTACATACATGCAGGCAATACAATCATACACATAAAATAAAAATAAATAATAGAATGTTAAAAAAAAAAAAAAGGTAGACACTTAACATGCTACTGAATCAAAAAACAACCAGACTGGGTATACAACTCAGTGGTAGAGGGCTTGTCTAACATGCATGAAACCCTGGGTTTAATCACCAACACTGCAAAAAAGAAAAGCCAACAAAATCAACTCTTCAAAAACATTAACACAAAATGAAATTCAAACTGGGAAAGGTGGCACACACCTATAATCCTAGCTCCTTGGGTGAAGTGGAAGAATTGTGCATTCCTGGGTAACCTGGGTTACACAATGAGACCTCATAGCCCCCAAAAAAGAAATCCCCAGGGGCTGGAGAGATGGCTCAGTGGTTAAGGGCCCTGGCTGCTCTTCCTAGCACCCACATGGCAGCTAGCAACCATCCATAAATCCAGTTCCAGGGAATCCAGTGCCCTCTTCTAACCTCCATGGGCTCTGCATGACACAGGTGCCCTTACATACATGCAGCGAATACACTCATACACATAAAAAAATAATATTTTTTTAATCCTCAAACAAAAGAAATTTCAAAATCTCTGGAATATTCATTTTATCAATTTCAAAAAATCTTAGTCTCTACATTTTAAAATCTATAAGGAAAAGGTCAAATTAAAATGTCAAAGTTAAATTAAGTCAAAAATTTAAAAGCCAAGTGAAAATGCAGAACTAAAAATTCCAGAGTGGCCAAAGGGAGGAGTAAGAATTTAAGAGTAGCCAAAGGTCCTTTAAGGAAAATCCGAGAGGCTATTATAGGGCAAAAGCAGGGAAAAGAAGCAAACCCGAGTTTTACTGCATGTGAAGTTCAATAACGGTAACAGTCTACTCACATCTCTCCCAGAAAAAGTAGGGCAGACATAGACAAACCCCTTGAACATGACTGGGAAAAGCTATTAACGCCAAGATAAAACACAAGGGGGGAAAGTCATCTTTCTATCTACCCAATCTTTTAAACAGAAAACTTACCAAAGATTTAAACATCTGTCTGGCTGAACTAGATTTCTCTTGATCCTATTCTGGTCTATGGGCAAAATGCCCAACTTCTTTCATCAAGCAGCCGAGACTGAGCACCAAGAACTGTGCATAGGTAAAAAACAATTTTTAGCCTTTGCCCTGTCAGACTTTTTTCTAATATCAACACAATACACCAAGTCACAGGTCAAATGATAGGTACAAGTGCACAGTGACCACATGGTGAACGCACCTCCTGTTCTTCCATTGCCAATCTGCACCGCAGGCTGAAGGCTTCCTTTATTTTGCAATAAATGAGGCAAATGATAATAAATACTTGGCACTTGAAGGGATTTTTTGCTTGTTAATTCCTTTAGTAGCTTTATGGTATTATCTGAAACACAAAAATAGAATTAGGCCACAGGAGTCCCTTATCTTTTAAAAGCTGCTGATTTTATTTTTTTAAAATAGCTATGAAAATTTATGAAAATGACAAGCAAAGGCTATTCTCTCCTAATTTCCTACTTCGGTGAATGAGCGCTCCATTTTTAAAACCCGAGTCTCACAGAGTCATGATGTGGATGAAACAGGCTGAGTGAACTTGAGGACAGCCAGAGTACCATGGGAAGGTGGAGTGCTAATTACTCACCTCTGCAATAGGTCAGACCTCAGATTCACTGAGTAGACTCTAAATATGCCATCCACTCATAAAAATGTAATAGCAAGCAGACTGACCACCTATGAATTTCATTTTCCTGTCTTTTCTTTTAGACAGGGTGCAGCTATGAAGCCAAAGTTGGCCTCAAACTCATTATACAGTCATGTCCTGGGATTATAGGCATGTGCTACCATGCTTGTCTAACTTTTGTTTCTTTATGCATAACATTTCATCAAAATCTTATATACAAAATTCTAAACATCATAAGTTGAGAATGTTCAGTATATACCAAAATCTTCAAATAGTTTCAGTTTTTATCTAGAGGGATAGATGCGTTATTTAATATGCTATGAAATAAAAACTTAAGTCAATGTTGTGCAGTATTGCTTTATATTTTCATCAGACTAAGATTTACTTTCTAAACAAGGAAGTTAACAGCAAGTACTTGTGCCTCCAAGTCCATTAAAAATAGGACAAAAAAAAAGAAAAAGAAAAAAAAATCAAAGAATACAATGGAGTGTCATATATGAAATTAACCAATTAATCTCAGAAGTAAAGAAACATATACTATAATAGACATTTCCACCTGTCAATAATTAGCAGCTTCACTGATGTTAAATGTCAGTGATGATGTGATAATTATGCCAGATACTCAACAGCATCCAAGGCCCTAGAATACTCTGTCGTATTTCTCAGTCATTACCTCTTTTGCATTTTAGCTTTTATGCATTCAACAAATATTTAATGGCTGCCTATCTTGTTCTAGGAATGGTGTCATATAAAAAAAAATCAACAGTCATCAAAACACAATCTAACAAAAATCATAAGGGCTACCAGAAATTTGATTGATTGATATACAAAGACATTTATCACAGAGCTGTAAGTCAGAGGGGAAAGTGATCCAGGAAAAGGCTCGTTTGCTAATTACAGAAAAATGCTCAGTTTGTTACAGTATGTTATAGTACGTTTTGGCTGGGTACGTGTAGCTATTAAAACAGTATTTTAGCCACACACTTGTAATCCCAAGCACTGGGGAGGCTGAAGCATGAGGATCTCAAGTCTGAGGCCAGCTTGGGCTACACAGTGACTTCTGGACCAGCCTGTGCCATGGGGTGAGATTCTGTCTCATAAAAAAATTTTTTTAATGTAAATTATCTTTTGAAGAACAGTGACAAGGTAAAAATGCTCATGGTATAATTTCAAGAGCTAAATATTTTGAAGAAAAATATGTATTCAAAAACAGACAAAAAGGAAGCAAATATGTTAGCAAAAATTACTGTGCACAAATCACAGTGATTTCTTTTTAGCATAACTTTAAGTGTTCCAAATGTTACATGGTACAAACAGGAGGAGAAGCAAGAAGCAAAAGCTTGAAAAAATGAAGTCAGGTGACAGGTGTCCAGATGAAAGGAATTCTTCTTTATTTGTATATGAAGAGTGTATGGAGCTAAATTCAAAATGTCAGTCTAGAAAGAGCATGCGAATTTGTAGACAGCTAGTTATGAACACATATCAGCTGAATCATCAAAATAAGAAGGGCACAGAAACAGAGAGGGAAAAATCAGTGCTCATTTGACTCTGACCAGAAGTCCTCCGAAGAGGAAAAACAAAACAAAAAAACACATACTTCCCAAATACCTGCTATAAACCAAATACGCTCCTTCTATCATTCAGATTTAAGAGTAATGACTGTTCAGATAGTTCCAAGATTTCCCCAGAAGCCATCTGAGGTCTAACATAAGCATGCATAAATAAAGTTAAATTGATTTATTTATTTTTATTTACTTAAAAAATATTTTATTTTTATTTTATGTATATGTGTACATGGATACAATGTATTTTTAATATATTCACTTTTCACCCACCCCCAACTTCCCCAACTCCTTGTCTAATCTCCAGTTCTTTTTTATAATCTCTAGAAGTTCAATTAGGTGCTTTACTTTTTCTGTAGGGCACAGGTCAAGGTACATTGGGACTACAGAAAAGCCACAGAAAGATGATGGAAAACTTCTTGGTGCCTGGGAGTAGGAAAGGTCCAATGTCAGGGCCTGGGTGCCCAGGGCTACGTGTGGAAACAGGGTGACCTTAGCTGGCTATCAGGGGAGGTAAGAATTATTTAAACACTTATTTATTATTTAAAACGTGTGTGTGTGTGTGTGTGTGTGTGTGTGTGTGTCTAGTCAGTTCTCTCCTGCCACCACCTGTGACCTGTGGATTAAACTCAGGTCCTCAGGCTTAGCATCAAGTATTGTTACCTGATGAGCCATCTCCAGGCCCAGAAGTTAAAATTTAACCTCACTATGAATGCTTTCAAGGTATAGGCTCTTGACTATTACAGATGAAATGTATGCAACTGGAATTTAAATTAATAGTGCTCTGTCAAAATGAAAGTAATTAATAAAATTTATTTTATAATTTACTAGGATAGAAAATTTTGTGTGATCTTTCTGAAAAGGGCAACGTCAGTCGGAAAACTACTAAATTTTCAAGTCACACCCTCCACAAAAATCCTTGAATCCTTTTAAAGTACCTGAAATTGGGGCTGCAGAGTTGGCTCAGTGGTTAAGAGCACTGGCTGCTCTTGCAGAAGACCTGGGTTAGATTCTCAGCACCCACATGCGGCTAACAACTGTCCCTTAACTCCAGTTCCAGGGGACTCAGAACCCTCTTCTGACCTCTACAGGCATTTCGAGACCTGGATGCAATATACTCGTACACATAAAATTTAAAAATTAAAAAAAAAAAAAGAAGTACCTGAAATTTTAGTCAATGCATTCTTACTTCCATTAGCTTCTGCTTCAGCACGCCGAAATTGTTGGACAATAGTGTTTAATTCTGAAGAGCGCTGAGATATCCTGTGTTCAGCTATTCGAAGACGTTCTTTCAAAGCCAGAAATTCTCGTTGATAAGCAATTAGTTTTTCTAGAAGCAAAACAAGAAAGTTATTAGTATGCTTTTTAATCTACTAGTAAACTTTTTTTCAATACTCATCTTAAGAGATGTAAACAAATCTGAAAGAGCAGATATTTTCATTAAAGTCAATGTTTTGGAAGAAAATATTGACTCTACAAGAACGGAAACTGAAAAAGGGACCTTGTTATGTAACAAAGCCACAACCTGGTTCTTAGTATTTTTAAAAATGTGAGCACTCTACTTAGTACTTGGAAATTTAAAGACTGAATAAAAAAGAAACTTGCTAGAATTAACACCAAGCATAATACTAATATCACTTCTCAAACGGTTCAACTATAAGGACAATGTTTGCATCATCCAGCCCAGGCAAAAGCTGATGATACACGGAATGCTGAAATTTTGCATTTTATAGCCTAGCTTCTTAAACTGTGGGTCACGACCTCACATGGAGATGTGTAACTGAAGGGAAGGGCTGTGAAACATTCAAGAACAGGGAGAGGCTTCTGAAAGCACAGAGACCAAAACGCATGAATCAGAGGTGTTTCTGGCAACACCTGCCCATGCCGCACTGCATGATCTCACTCCAGGCTTGGTTCTGAACACATAGCACGTATACTTTCCATTGAGTGCCTCACACCAGGCAAAGGCAATACCAATCAATGATGGCTATCTGACACCTGGGCACAGACTCAAGACTACTGTATATTACAAAATACAGAGCTTTTACTACTGATATAAAGCTTTCTTCTTTTACAGGAATATAGTTGTTTAAGTCACAGAAAACAAAGACAGTATTTTCCTGCCATTCCTTAGCATGTAAGTATCAAATTAGTTTACCTTTGGTTTGTAGTATGTTAGAATGCTTCATTTTAAATTTTGCTGTTGGAGTTGCTAACTTGAGTTTCATTCGAAAAAAATTTAGTGGGAGAGGGAGTTGGGGATAGAGATGACCAAGATACATTGCTTACATGTATGAAGTTGTCAAAGAATAAAAAAAAGATACTCTGCTAATGAGGTTGGAGATGGCTCAGGAGTTTACGAACACTTGAGCTTCTAGAGGACCTGAGTTCAATGCCCAGCACCCACATCTGGCGGCTCACATCTGCTTGTAACTCAAGCTCAGGGGACCTGATGCCCTCTTCTGGCTTCCATGGGCAACTATACACATAGCATTTACCCAGATATATATAAACACGTATTCAAAAATCTTTTTTAAAAAGGTTAAACGGCTGGGCATGGTGGTGCACACCTTTAATCCCAGCACTCAGGAGGCAGAGGCAGGTGGAGCTCTGTGAGTTCAAGGCCAGCCTGGTCTACATAGTGAGCTCCAGGACAGCTGGGGCTACAGGGAGACCCTGTCTCAAAAAGACCCCCCCCCAAAAAAAAAGGTTAAATGACTTTTGAATTGGGATTAGGACAGATTTTTCAACAATTTCTGAAATGATCCTAAACATGTTCTGTACTAAGCATTTACATGACATGATGATGTTCTTAGCATTGGCCATTATGACATCAAGGTACTGATTAACTGTGAAAATGTTGAAGATGCTCTGTGTCCTGCAATGTCAACTATTCAGGCAAGATTTAATTAATTAATTTAATTAATTAATCTTTTCTTGAGACATAGTCTCCCTTTGTAGCCCAGATAAGCCTGGAACTCATTATGTAGACCCATC